TCAGTGGGAGGGAGATAGGGTGTCTGCCTGTAAACCCCTATGCAGGGTAGCTGTGAGTCAGAATCAACTGGATGTCAAGGGGTGGATGGCACAGTGGCTGACTGCTTGCTTGCTAACTGAAAGGTTGGTTCAAACCTTCACACTCCCACCCCATTTTTATTCTGCCCTCAGGGGTCATGGGGTTGGAATCAACTTGACACAAACAACATCTTCCTAAAGTTTGAACATCATCACAGTGAAAAAAATTAAACATCTGATAACAAATGGGTCTGTATGACTTACTTGGAAGATCCACCAAGAAAGCTTGAGGGGGAAGCAACCTGGGAGGGATGTAAACTGAAGCTATCTTGTATCTAGTAGTCATGTTGGATTTTGCTTCTAAAAGTTCCTCGTAATCAGTAACTAACCTGACTCTAACCCACTGCCATTAAATCAACAGACACCAACTCATAACGATCCTGTAAGACAGAAGTAGAAAGCCTCATCTTTCTCCCACAGAGCTGACTGGTGTTTGGGAACTGCCCACCTTATGGTTAGCAGGCCAATGTGTATAGCCACTAAGCCACCAGGGCTCCTTAAGTATTTAGTAGGCTTAAAAATTTTTTTAAAAATCAGAACCTCTCACTTATTTGTCTGCTCACCCATTTTTAAGTCTTGAAATCACGACCCGCTGTTGATGGTGAATCTTGGCTATAGTCTTGTGCTCCCAGAGTTGTTGTCCCTGCATAGTGCAAACAGTTAACATGCATGACTACTAATCTAAAGTTTGGTGGCCAAGCTCACCCCTAAGTGCCTCAAAAGACAGGCCTGGCAATCTGCTTCTAGAAAAGTTGGCTGTTGAGAGCCCTATCCAGCACCGTGGGGTTCCACTCTGACACACGTGGTTGGGGTCACCACGAGTCAGAATCAACTCCGTGGCAGCAGGCTGTCCCATGCAACTTCAAGTCTACTTTTGTTTATATGATGCTGAAATGTCTCTCGTTTCCTCTCCTCATTCGTAGAATTGTGGCACACTTGATTAAATGACTCATTTTCATCCTTTGCTAGTGTTCTAGCTGTGGCTTTCCCCAACCACTTTGTGAAGTCTCCATTTTGCCCACTTAATCTTTTCTTCCCAGCCACATGCATTCCCTACTTGAACCAGATAAACTCAAAATTGGTTTTGAAAGAAAGACTCAGAATATTAAGACCTTGCTGGTTTTTAGATATAATCTTTTAATATGGAAATCCTAATATCTTAAAGAATAGTGTTGAGATCAAGGGGAAAAAATACAACCTCTCTCCATTTGCATACACACACACACACACACACACAGCCTTGATTGTCAGAAGACACTTGCAGCCAGTTAGAAAGATTGACATGTCTAAAATTTCAAAGGGAGTTAAAATAAAGAAGACAGTCCTCTTGCCCATATATATATACACATAAAGGCAAACAATATAACATATGTGAAAATAAGCCTTTTGGAATTATTTCAGAATTAACTGAGATTTGAAATGTAATTTCAAGTGAAGAAATGTGTATCTCCAGTCTGAAATAATTGTGAGATATTTCAAAGGGCAGTCATCATTTTTTCCCACAGTCTATGTAAATTCCATAGGCTGTTGTCATTCAAAAACATTGTTAATTACATGAAATGTATTCTGCTACCTGTTCTAGCAAAGGTGAGTAGAAGACAGTGTGTGTTATCGAGAAAACTAAAAAATGTGACAGTGTAATTACATTGAGAAGCACCAGAAAAATGGTAGAGATTTGAAATTTGAAAAAATTTGAAAGCTCCTTTGGAAATTCAATAGGCAGAGAGTGGGGAGAAGACATTGCATGCAAAGAAACAGCATAAAGTCAACAGAAGTATGAAATTGTGTGGTGTATCCTTAGTGGAGAGTGACGAGACATTACTGTAGTGAGCTGTGTGTGCACTTTGGCTAAGTAACATGAGATATCTGCTTGCCTTAAAGAAGAGAGGGACTGACTTTATGGAGCTGCGTTAGGAGCGTGAGGGAAGTTGCTGAAGCTAAAATAAGTGATTTACTACTATTGTTGCTCGTGACGATAAGGGTCTATATCAAGATAATAGAAAGAAGAAGAAAGATTTGACCTCCGTGTTAAAGTTAATGAGACTTGCTGGTTGGTAGAAGGGAAAGTTAAAGTCTTAAAGTGGGAATGGTGTTATCTGTACTATGGAATAAAGATGAGGTGTTCTGAAAATTAGGTGGTCCTAAAGACATGTTGCGGAACATTATTCACAGTAGCCAAAAGGTTGCAAACCATCCCAGTGACCACCAGCAGCAGAGGCATGAATATATAAAATGTGGTAGATAAGTACAGTGGATCATTACTTAGCCTAAAGAGAAGTGAACTCCTGATCAATGCTATGCTATGACATGGATGGACCTTGAAGACATGCTGAGTGAAATAAGCACTCACAACACACGTGATAGACATAGTTCACATTATGGAGTTATTAAACAAATCTTGAAATGGCCAACATTTTGTCATACATTGTTAATACAGTTGTAAAAATCATTATAAGGCATATTAGAACCCACCTATGTGATACTATGAGAACAGTTGGAAGTAGACAGTCGAAAATGGATTAAAATTAGAAAATACCCTACAATTGCATTTGTTCCGGCAAATGTATATAGTCTAGAACACTGGAAACCACAGCTGCCTGAAAGTGGCAGAGGGTGAGCAGAGGCGCCACAGGAGACTGAGTGACGGCACGGAAAGAGGAGAACCAGGAAGCTTTGGAGCAGCGGTTCTCAACCTTCCTAATGCTGCGACCCTTGCCTACAGTCCCTCATGCTGTGGGGACCCCCAACCATAACATTATTTTCATTGCTACTCCATAACTGTACTTTTGCTTCTGTTAAGAATCGGGCGACCCCGGTGACAGGGTCGTTTGACACCGCCCCCCAAAGGAGTCGTGTCCCATAGGCTGAGAACCTCTGTTTTCGTGTCTTGGAAACCAAGCGAGGAGAGACGGTATTATACATGAAGGGGGAAAGCAGCACAACTCCAGTTGGAAAGGAAGGCACTAGAGATGAATACTATTACATGCACAGTCCTGAATTTGTGTAGTTACAGTGTATGTGCCTACACATTGGTAGACTTGCAAGCTGAGCAGATAAAGGAAGGGGGATGAGAGTCCATCCATGAAAACATACAGGTTTGGCAGAGGTATTTCTAAACATGTATTTATCTGTGCTGCACTTATATCCAAGGCTATTGTAGAACATGCAGGGATCAAACTTCTGACAAGGTCTAAGCAAAAACCAAACACTGTAAGGGAATGAATGAATGTAGGGCCTCAGTCTCAAGGGACGTCTAGATCAATTGGAACAACATATAACATAGTCACAAAGACAGGGTCTGATGCTCTGCTTTGATGTGTAGTGACTGATGACTAAGCTTGTGACTGAGTCTTAGTGACTAGGCCCTTCAGGAGTAGTGACTAAGCTTGCAAATGGCCATCTACAATGCAACTTTTGGCCCCTCATCTGCAGCAAAAAAATGAAGAAAATCTAAATCTAAAGAAACAATCTAAAGCAGCAGTTCTCAACCTGTGGGTCGCGACCCCTTTGGGGGTTGAACAACCCTGTCACAGGGATCGCCCGATTCATAACAGTAGCAAAATTATAGTTATGAAGTAGCAAATAAAATAATGTTATGGTTGGGGGTCACCACAACATGAGGAACTGTATGAAAGGGTCGCGGCATTAGGAAGGTTGGGAACCACTGGTCTAAAGGATAATGTTAAGTGCCATCGAGTTGGTTCCGACTCATAGAAATCCTATATATTCAATAGAACAAAACACTGCCTGGTCCCGCACCATCCTCACAATTGTTCTTATGTTTGTGCCTGTTGTTGTAGCCACTGTGTCCATCCATCGTGTCGAAGGTCTTCCTTCTTTTCACTGCCCCTCTAGTGTTCCAAGCATGAGGTCCATCTCCAGGAGCTGGTCTCGCCTGACAATGTCCAAAATACATGAGGAAATGTCTTACCATCCCTGTCTCCAAGGAGCTTTCTGAATATACTTCTTGCAAGACAGATTTGCTTGTTCTTTTGGCAGTCCCTGGTACTATCAATATTCTTCACCAGCTCCACAATTCAAATGCATTGATTCTTCTGTCTTCCTTATTTACTGTCTAGCTTCACATACATATGAATGAGGTCATTGAAAATAACCGTGGCTTGGGTCAGGTGCACCTTAGTCCTCAAAGTAGCATCCTTGATTTTCAAAATTTTAAAGAGGTCTGTGCGGTCGATTTACCCAGTGCAATGTATTGTTTGCTCTCTTGACTGCTGCTTTCATGAACCTTGACTGTGCATCCAAACATGACAGAATCCTTGACAACTATTAACCAAAGGATTATCGCTCATGGCAAGTACAGCCCCCACTACCCCGAGACCAGAAGAACAAAGTTCAAAATCATAAAGTCCATCAGACATACTGCTCGGACTGAGAATAGGAGAGCATTAAGATTGTGGCTCTTCTTGCCCATGGAATCCAAGACAGAAAAATCCCTCAGGAACAGTAATGGGAGTAGTGGTACCGTAAGGGTGGGAGGAAGGTCGGGGGGGAAGGGGGAGAAAGGGGAACTGAGTACAATAATTGCCACATAACACCCCGCCCCCAGGGGAATGAACAGCAGAAACGTGGGTGAAGGGAGATAGTGGATGGTGTAAGATATGAAAATAATAATTTATAATTTATCACGGGGTGACCAGGGTAAGAGGTAGGGGAAAAAAGAGGAGCTTAAACCAAGGGCTCAAGCAGAAAGAAAATGTTTTGAAAAATGATGATGGCAACATATGTACTCATGTGCTTGCTACAATTGATGTATGGGTTATTATTAGAGCTGTAAGAGCCCCCAGTAAAATGATTTGAAAAATAATTAATTAATTCCTTTTAAAAAAACAAAAGACTGGCTTATAGATACCCTTCAAGCCTAGAACTGAACTCACCTCAAGGGATCATCTTTGGATAGGCCAATAAAGTGAACCCTGGCACGAGGAAGGAATGTGCTTCTCAGGACGACCGACCACCCACCACCACAGGGGCAGGATGTGCCCCCAAACTCAGAAGGCAGAAAGGGGCAGGGAAAATGAGCACAATGAAAAGGGGAACCGGGAGGAAATGGAAGAGTTCTTTGTTACCCTGGAGACTTCTACCAATGTCGCGCAACAAAAAATGTATGTACGATTGAATGGAAAACTAATTTGCTCTGTAAACTTTCATTTAAACTATGAGGGTTGAGTAGAAAGTCGGGGATGGGGAGTCATACTGGTAAAGGGTTGAATTGGAACAAGGAGAGATATAAGGACTAGAATTGTTGATATTGATAAAATGATTAGTAGTAGAATGAATAAAACCCAAATTTGTATATAGTAGAACCACGTTACTCTTAACTAGAGCAGTAGAGTCACTTTATTGAAAAGTCTTGCCTCTCCCTTTTGTCTCTTGCTGGACAGCCCAAATATAAAATTAAAATATATCTTTCAGCATACTGATTTGTTTTTATGGAGAAAAAAGTTGTGGTTTTTCTTTTTTAATTTTTAAGTGGCTAGACTGGTTTTCCTCTTTGTTAAAAAGATCTTTATTACAGTGTGATCATTTTCACATTTGATATCACAAAAGCATGATGATCCATCAATGAAAAATGTTCCTGTTCCCCACTGAAGCATGACCTACACAGTGTATAGGGTGGAAGACTTGTCTTTACTCTCCAATCTGAACTAGATCATTTCAGAATTCTGACCAGGCATCCAGGGCTGTGCTTAATGTGGTGCCAGCTGTATTCCTTGGTAGGTGCAGTCACTGTGTGCTGGGAAGCGGGCATCGTCTTACCCTTTGTATTTCTCCTCTCTGTTCCGTAGGTTGGGTCGGAGGCTGTGTCTGGTATCTTGAACGAAGAGCGGGGCAGGAATCCCCTCACAAGTTCATGCGCCTGTTCAGGAGCGTCAATAAGCAGTGGATTACGTTTCAGCACTTTAACTTCCTCAAGCGCATGGTATATTTAGAAGACCATCTTTATTTTGCCTGTCTCTGTCGGACTTTACTTTCTCTCTCGTGAGCAAATTTCAGAAGTCCCTATTATAAGAAATGTTTTAAGAAAGGTTATTTGAAAAAGACTTTTCTTCAATGTCTTTTTAAGTTTAACCACAACTTTAAACTTTTCTTCTGAGTGTTCTTAACTGAAACCACAATAATTTTGGTATTTGAGATCCAATATGTGGTCCTGGATGTATTAGGTTTGGGGAAAGACTGAAAACTTCTGGCCTATTTCAAGTAGGCTAAAGTTGAGAGAAAGGTGAACTGTCACAGGAGACAACTTTGTAAGTAATGTAAAGTTCTCTGAATATGCCAGTAATAGAGAACTCGTTACCGTAACCATGTGTCCGTGTGTGTGTGTTTTAAGCAACACTATATTTTAAAAACCTTAACACCTGTAGTTCTGAGTAACCACAAATTCAGGTTTTTTGGTCATTTGGTAGGCGTTTTAGAGGTCATTGGTAATGCATCCTGTACAAGCTCTTCTTGGTAGGCTCCAGAACATTGTGGATACCAATTAACATGGTGGATGCCATTAGTGAAAGCAGAAAAATCATTGAGTAGAAATAATAGTTGAAAATTCTTAGTGCAAACATGGGAAAACAGCAAATTTATCATCTAAAGCACCCCCCCCCCGCCGCCCCATTTTTAACATCTCTTAACCTAAAATACCCTATATAATATGTAGCATTTCGAAGAGTTTTACATCTCCAGATACATTCACACTTTAAGTTAGCAGTCAAACTCAAATACATTACTTTTTTTTCAAATATATTACTTTTTTCATGTGAGTGTGACTGAATGTATTTCATATTTTAGCTCTTTGTAGCTATTATGTAAAAAGGCACCCTGGTGCCACCCTGGTTAAAGTATTTGGCTGCTAACCCAAAAAGGCCAGTGGTTCAAACTCACTAGCTGCTGCTCCTAAGAAGAAACATGGTAGTGGGCTTCCATAAAGGTCTGCCATCGTGACAGCCCCAGGGGGCAGTTTATTCTGCCCTGGAGAATTGCTCTGAGGTAGAATCGACTAGATAGCAGGTGGTTTCTGGTGTAGTTATTATCTAAAACTAGTATATATTATCTCAAGCCTTTTTGATATCTGAAAACGTCACTTACCTAGTTATCAGAACAGGATGGCCCTAGTCCAGGCCCCTCATAATTGATTATAGACTATTGACTATGTAGCTGGTTTCTGGGCCCTGGTTTTCTTTCCTGTAAGTTAAAGAGATGATAATCCATCTTCTTTAACATGGTTGAGAAGTTTATGTGTGATCTATCCTATCCAAATTATAAAGTGCTTCTAAAACTATAAAGTGTTAAAACGTTAACAAAGGTTAATAGTAGTGACTAACTTTTGCTAGTAGATCATACTGTATGATTTTTTAAAACTCTGTTCTTCCACATACCCACAGTGCAAAGTCAGCGGGCTCTTTATTATAGAAGACTTTTTCATTGTGTTTGGCATATTGAACTTCCAATTTATGAGGCTATTTTATGATGTATTCTGGAGAAAATGAATAAAAAAACAAATTTCTCTCTCAAGGAACTTAAATTTATATGACTGATGAAACATACACTTTAAAAGCTATTCATTGCTGAGGCATGCAATACTGTCATCCTTCTATCTCTTAGTATACCGATTTTTTATAAAATAAGTACTCTATACATATATGCTACTTTAATGTCAAAGTTACAGGAAAGTCTCATAAAAGTTGATGACGTGATGCGAGATGTAACTAAATAGCCCTTTTGGAGCACTGGGAGCTCTGGTTTTAGATTGACATGTACTTTCTTATTTAGTATGTCACCCAACTGAACAGAAGCCTCCACCAGCAAGTGAAGCCTAAGCCAGAGCCCCTCGCATCTTCTTTCCTTGAAAAGACATCTTCGAGTCAAACCAAAGCAGAAATCTACCAGATGAGATCTCTGTCGCCGCCCAGCCTGCCATTGTCCAGAAAGTCAAATGAGAAGGGATTGACAGAACTTGGCTCTGCCTCAATCATCAAAAGTTCAATAGAAGTGGGAAACGAGACGAGAGATGAAAAACAATGGAAAGAGATGAAGCTGCAGCTGGAGAATTTGCCAGGCATTTTGGCTCGCCTCTCCAAAATCAAACTCACAGGTAATTTCTGTCTGAGAGTATAGGGAGAATCTTGAAACTTCATTTTTTAAATAAAAACCCAGTTTTACTTTTCTGATCCAAAAGGGATATTTTGAAGCGGCAGGTCCTCTCAATATTTGTCCTCTCATTAATTTAATTTGGATTTGAAATATTTTTTCTCCTTCCATTCCTACAGAATGTAAATGCTATTACACTGTCACTAAAACAAGTCTCTTGTTTATTTGTAATTAAAGTATAAAGTGAATCCTGCTTATTTCACCATCTTTGCTGTTTCACACTTACTGTGGCTTAAGCATGCACTAGAATTCTGAGCTCGGTGTGTTGGAGTTTCTGAAAATAGACAGGCAGAACTGTCTGGTTATTGTGCCAGTGAGCCAGTAGTGACCTGGCGACTCCCAGCTCAGCCTGCTTTGCTGCTTATTGGGTGGTCCCAGTATTCAGGATTATAGAGAGTTTTTTTCTGAAAGGAAGCTTTGATCCAGTTTTTCCTGCCTAATTGAAGGAAACTATACTAAATTATAACACATTCTACTTAGGGTAAAAAAAAAATGACTACCATGTTTGGGACCCTTTATGGTTTGGGAGATTAAATCCTTAGGGGATCTGACAGTCTCCTCTTTCTCCCAAGAAGCAGAGAGTGGATTTGAACTGCAGCTCGCAACACAACACTGAACCTCCAGGGCCCTCAGGGGTCCTTTCTACTTGAGTATTAACCCATAACGATGTCATTTTGTAGTAACAACCACCCTACAGAGTCAGAGAAGGTATTGTTATCATTCCATCTCCTCAGGCCCCAAGACTAAATCTTTACAGTAGCACACAGCTGCATCGTTACCCCTTAGAGTGAGGCCTAGACGTAGGGAATTTGAAAAAACAGCTGACAAATCTTAGTAAGACCTACATAGTGTAATTCTCAAACTGAGACTAATTCCAGATAGAATATGTGAACATAAATCTTACTGTAGCTGAACAAGGACGCATCACATTTGTGTTATCTTTTCCCATACACACAGTGGTCTGAGTGGCATGCTGTTGACGTATTAATAGTGGCCATTTACAGAAACGACGATAGATAAGGAGCCCTGGTGGCCAACCAAAAGCAAACTTAGTGCCATTGGATCAACTCCAACTCAAAGTGACTTGACAAGATGGAGTAGAATTGTCCCTGTGTGTTTCCAAGACTACATTTTACAGAAGTAGAAAGCCTCAGTTTCCTCCTGATGGAGCAGCTGGTGGGTTTGAACTGCTGACTTTGTGATTAGCAGCCCAACAGTATAGAAAGCCCTAGCTGCTCCTGAGGTGAAAGATGCAGCAGTCTGCTTCTGTAAAGATTTACAGCCTTAGAAACCTATGGGACAGTTTTACTCTATCCTGCAGAGTTGCCAGAAGTCAAAATCTCCTTTCAGCAATAAATTTGGTTTGGTTTGATATAGAGAACATGAAATCCTTGGATATGCAAATTGTTGATGCACTAGCTATTAAGTGAAAGGTTAGAGGTCTTTGGTTGTGACTCCGCGACCCTCTGTAGAGTTTCTACAGCTGTAGGTCTTCAGGAGGGCAGACAGCCTCATCTTTCTCTTGTGATGAGGGTGCTGGTGAGTTTGAATCGCTGACGTTATGGTTACCCAACAGTGCCACAAGGGCCCCTAGTCCTTCATGATCACACGTCTAAAGTACCGAGATGAAGTCTCACCGTCCTTGCTTCTCGGGAGTAATCTGACTTTACTTCCTCCAAAACACATTTGTTGCTTCTTCTGGCAGTTCATAGTACTTTCAGTGGTTTCCATCAACACCTTAATTCAAATCCATCCGTTCTTCCTCTGTCATTAATACTCATTGTCCAGCTTTCACGTGCACTTGAGGTGATTGATAATGCCATGCCGTGGGTCAGGCTCACCTTGGTCCTTGAAGCGCCATCTTTACTCTTTAACACTTGAAAGAGGTCCTTTGCAGCAGATTTGCCCCTTGCAGTATATCCTTGATTTCTTGACTCCTGCTTTCTTGAATGTCGATTGTGGATCTAAGTCAAATGAAATCCTTGACAATTTAAATCTTTTCTCTTTCATGATGCTGTATGTTGCTCTAGTAGTGAGGATTTCTTTTTTAACACATTGAGTTGTAATCTATACTAAAAATAAAGCCTAAGCCCTCCTGATTTCACCAAGCAAGGTGGTGGTGTCTGCATGTCACACAGGTTGTTAGTAAGCCTTTCTCCAATCTTAACGCCACCTTTTTCTTCATGTAGTTCTGTGTCCTGGTTAGTTTCTCAGTGTACAGATTGACTGAGTGTGCTGAAAGTATACTACCCTGGCACATCTTTTCTGATTTTTAAGCCACCCAATATCCCCTTCTTTTGTTCTAACAACTTCCTCTTAGTTTGTGTATAGGTTCCACAAGACCACATTAGGTGTTCTAGAATTCCCATTCTTTGCAATGCTTTCCCTAGTTTGTTATGCTCCATACAGTCTAATTCCTTTGCCTACTCAGTAATGCAAATGAATCTCTGCTTTCAGCCCGGATCCCTCTGACATCAGCAATGATGTTTCTGGCAGTGGTCTGTCAATGTTCTGCTGCAATCATTATTAAATGATCTCCAGCAAAATTTCACTTGCATGTGATCTTAATGATATTATTTGATAGCTGCCACATTCTCTTGCGTCACCTTTCTTTGGAATGGGCACAAACATGGATCCCTTCCTGTTGGTTGGCCAGAAGCCAAAAATGTTCATAAGTACAGCAGGACTTCTTGCTTCTATCAAGTCTCAGTCAGAAAGTTGAGGTCTGGCTTCCCAGGTGAGGTGATGTGGGTGAAACTGTATGGTAGCATCTGTATGTCCAAGGAAAACAAAAGGTCTGGCTGGGTTCAGCTGGTTCTATGGCAAGACCTTAAAGAAAAGATGCTATCATGGAAACAAAGGATGTGGCTTGGTTCACACCTTTACTAAGGTCAGGGCTCAATCCCACCCAATTCCTGTCCATTCATAGCGCATACCCTCCAAAATGAGACTACAGCACAGACGTTTAAAGTCTAGAATTCTGTCCCACCAGGAATTACATCGAGAAGGGCCATATTAGTTGTAACTCATACATCACCAGGCCTCCTTGTGGTTAGATACATCTATGTTTCAAACCCAGAATTCTTTCTTAATATATATCTGATCATGAGCACTTTGCTTAGCCTTAGCTTCCTAACCTGTAAAAATCCGGTGGTCCTCAAGTTACAAATATCAGACTTACATACAATCTGCTGTTATAAACCAGCTTCATAAAGTCTATTGTATTAAAAATTCTGAATACATAAAATGGTCTGTAATAACAAGCAGGTCCTACTTGGCAAGGCATAGAAAGGTACTATGAACTACGACAAACATTTAACTAACTGACATTAGATAAAAACCCTACAGAATTGTTCTGTACAAATTCAATTTAAAGCCAGATTTAGGGATGAGATTTGTTTATAATATGTAGACTGCCTATAGAGATAATAATAATAACTTTATAGCTTCATTGTGAGAATTAAATGAAATATAATGCATGTGAAATATTTATGTGCCTTTAAAAGTGGCACAGAAGCTGTTATCTGACCTTTGGCATCCCTACTGCCATGAGGCAGAGGTCAGACATGCCTCTACCCTCCATCTTTCTTAGCTGACACCAACCGTTTTGCTCATGGCCCTCTACTTCTTTGCTGGGTTCAATAATTTGTTGCAACAAAACTCACAATTACTGGCGGGTGGGGGATTCGGGAAGTTAATAGTTACCACAAATCAGGGTCAATAGACAGTCAGGATTCAGCCATTGGTTTACTGCATTGCATCTTCTCAGTCAACAGTCAAGGCTGCTTTTGGTCTCAGCCTCTCACCCAGGTGGTCCCTTGGTGTCTCCCTCTGTGGGCCAGGAAGCCTGCCTGTTCTGCCTCATAGTCCCATTGTCTAGGTGTTGCCCTCTGTCCTGTCTTGTGATGTCCATGCCTTGGCCTCTGGTCTCAACCTGGCTCCTTTGCTCCTGTCATCTCCATGCTGCCGCCTCGGGTGCCTCTGGCCTCAGCTCACTTCAGACAACTTGAGAGGGCTCTTCTCAGGACTCCTCCTATAACGGTCTGGGCCTTTCCCGCTTGCCTGAGACAGCTTATCCTTATAGCCAAGGGAGGGGCAACTAAAACCTACCAGCCCCTGTATTAGTGTTGCACATGCCCTAGTTGCGAAGTCCCATCCAATTACTTGGCTTGAGTTGAAGGGATGTGGATAGAGGAGCCATCTTTAGAAGTTTCACTCCTTCACAGTGCCAGACATGTAATAGATACTTCATATATTTTGTTATTAATATTATTACCATATCCACCATTAGGGAAATTAATACTATAGGTGCTGTCTATAATAGATGTTGATATAAAAGGTGGAATGAGTACTCAGAGAAGGGGGGTTTGCTTCTGCTTATGAGGAGTTAGATGAACAGGTATTTGCACAGAAAAGGCAAGGAGAGAAATTGATACATCCTGGTGTGTTCAGGAAACTTCAGTTCCCAAAGGGGACGTCAGGGAGGTACTTGCTGAAGTGAAGATTTAAGTAGGCACTATCTTGTCATATCGCACGTATTTCTTCCTAAAGAGTTGCTCTGTTAAATCATAATCATCCTAGGAGGTTCTTTGGAGCAATATGATCATTTGATGTTTTATCTTGTTAGCTGTTAATATATTCCATTTACCATTAATATAGGCTGATTGTAAAAATGTTAGTTCTTCATTCTCATACACCCAGAAACTACTGAAAGCAGGCAGACTAGTTCTCAGTGTTCTGTGTATTCCATCTGGAGAAGCCCATGTGTATAGCCACCATTTGTGTAGTTGGAAAAAGGAATTTCTAGGAACAAGCTGTTGGTGTTATAAAATTCTATCATGCGGTCTCCAGCTTCCTTTCTGTCACCAAGACCGTGTTTTTCTACTACTGTGCCTTCCTCTGTTTCTAACTTCTGCATTCCAATTGCCAAGCATTGATGGTCAT